TTTTTTTTTTTTTTTTTCAACAAGCTTTCTCAAAATTCCATGAACTACTAATTAATAGTATATATTAATATTTAATAAACTAAAGAAAATGATACAGTACGTTCTTAATTATATTATATATATAGTCATGTTTTACATGCAAATATTTTCAGACCTCTAATAATTGAATTTCTACTTTTAATTTTTTATTTCGCAGCTCACAATAATGCCCCACAGAATAAAAAGGCATTTTGAATATTTTGAAAACACAGGCTTGGTGGTTGATGTCTGGTTGACCACGCTCAAGTCAATACCAATGACATTAGCATTTGTTTCCATTCCTTCTCTCACTAATTAAAAATACTAATTGGTTGGGTCTCCCAAAGCATATGTGGTCCTCAACCTCATATATCTTAGCCAATTCATAATGTGTTGAAAAAACTCAAGCCTACATTTTATTAATTGCCTCGTAAACACACTAATTTAAAACCAGTCAAAGGATTACTAAAATATAAAGTCTTTATACATAAAAATCTGACATTAAATGTAATATTATACACAACTTATCATTATCACTCATTTACTATATATATATATATATATATAGGTAAAGAGAAAGCGGAAAAAAATTATTTACTTTAAAATAAGTCTACTTAAACTTATTATTAGGTAATAAATTATATTTTATATAAAATAATTCAATCGTTAAATTAAAAATTCTTAATATATAAATCAAGTTTGTAATGTTTTAAAAAAATTTAAAAATTATTTGATATTTTGTTTCATTAATTCAAAACAATATATATAATTTTAAAATATTTAAAAAATTTACAAACTTGATCTATGCATTAAAAACTTTTAATTTAATGGTTGAATGGTTGAAATTTGATGTAGAACATAAGTTATTGAGTGAAATAAGTCTGAATAGATTACTTTTAAAATAAGTGGATCCTTTTTCATATATATATATATATATATATATATATATAATATCTTCAAAAAAAGAATTATTACAATATATATATATATAATATCTTTTTAGAAAGAATTATTAAAAAATAATCATTAAAAAGAGTATGAATAAGAACAAAATTTCTCTTTATTATCATAATGAAATAATACTATAATCTTATTGTTGAAATAGTACCAATTTATTTAATTTTTTATTAGTATCAAAGGTAAAGAAAATAATATATAAAAAAATATAATGAATAAGGTGTCCATAGTATTTGCTAGAACAAGAGATCAGAGAGCTGGTGGATACATATCTAAAAATAATTAGGAGGAAAATAAGCATGACAATCTAACCCGTTCCCATGGGTATTCGCCCGAAGCCGCCTCGATTTGGATGGGAAAAACTTGTATTTATCGGGTTCGAGTTCGGATTTTCCCTGATTGATAAAATCGGGGGCGGGGCGGGGATGTTAATACCCATCCCGCCCCCGCCCCCATACCCTTCCTCGCCCCGCTTAATAATATAATAAAAAAATTATTTGTATATATATATAAACCAAAATTATAAATATTTATATGTAAAAATTTATATTATTTTACTTTTCTTTTATTTTTTTAAATTTTTTCATATTTATTTAAAAGAAAAAAAATAAGAGCGGGGGCGGGG